TTTCGTTACCACTTGAAGTTGCACTTTATGAATTTTTGTGTTCTATGGTTTTATTTTTTAATTTTACTGCAGTCAGGAGTGCAACAAAACTTCTTTTTTTTTTTAAATTATCAATGATCTTCATCTATCTTTACTTAAAAATAAATTGCAAAAAAATTGATACTACATGTATTTGATGTTCAGAAAATTATGTCTATCAACTAATTACAGACATTTTACAGTAAATTCAGAGAATAGTTTTCATCACTTAATACATTTTTAAATACAATGTAGATATGTTACACATTGCATATAATCATGTTTTGAAGTTTTGAAAATATGGAAAAACTTGCCGTAAATGATAAAAATATCAAAACGACGAACTGATTACAAAGAATGGGTTATTGTGTGTTATAATTTTTAAAACAATGTTAAATAAAATACATATCAGATGTCAGGAGTGCAACACAATAATGTAAAATAGGGTCATTTCAATATCGAGTATTTTTTGTAAGGAAACTTGTATATCAAAATTCTTTTTTGGCTTAGATTCAAAGAATTGACCTAAATGGACAAAAAGTGATTTGGGGGAATTTTATTGTTTCATATTTCTTTAATATTAAAACTTTTCAAACCAGAATTGAAAAAATAATGTTTGTTTGTTTGTTGTTTAACGTCCCTCACGAGAATTTTTCACCCATATGGAGACGCCACCACTTGCCGGTGAAGAGCTGCAAATTTTGCCCTATGCTCGGCACTTACGGCCATTGAGCAGTGAGGGATCTTTTTCGTGCCAACACCTACTGCGACACGGGACCTCGGTTTATACGGTCTCATCCGAAGGACCGGTCTCCACGTCCCACAGTGGGATTCGAACCCGCGACGTAAGGATCAACTCCTTACTCCGCGACTCTAGAGCAGACGCTCTAACCACTGCGTCACGTGGTCGACAAAAAAATAATGTAAAATAACAATCAAAAAGCCAATTTTTTCCACAGATACAAGAGAAGAAACTCAATTAAGGATTAGATCTGATCATTTATATCCCTGATCCCATTTTGAAGCATAAAAAACTATACTTTCTTTTCATTATGTATTTGAAAAAGTCTTTTAGGATGTTGTGATATTTTCCTTTTTTTTAAAAAAATAAGTTTTACTAATAAAAATTTTGAAACTTTTTTAATCCAAATGTCTATTCTATTGCAACTTCAGGAATTTTAACTGGAATGCATATACAATATAATGATATAAATGAAAAATATGTTATGGGTAGTTGAATTTTTTTTTTTTAAAAATTCCATTATGGTGGTCATTATTTTTGAATTCATCCATTAGTATTTAAAATAAAATAAAAAATTTTTTACAGTGCATATACTAGCTACATTAAGAGTCTTACTGGCAGAGAAATTTTGTGATTCAGGGAAGAGCAAGACTTTATCATAAGCATTTACTGTAGCTGAGACTTGGCCTAAAACTTGTTTTTTAATAAATGGAAATACATTAACGATGAGCATCTCCATTTATTAACACATGTAAATAAATTCTGTGCCAAGTGTCAGCAACAGTTCATGTACCTTGCAACTGTTAGGAGTATCTCCATTTATAAACTGGTCTGTAGGAAGCAATTTCAGGGGAACACAATCCATCCCAAATTCCTTGACAAGCTAAAAGGGAAAATACTTTTTTGTTGAATAAGGTTCGTTTTGTAAATACATATTGGCCGGGGTGGGGGCAGCCTCCCTGTACCCCCCTTCCAATGGGTTTGATTATACCGGGTACTAAACTAGAGACAAGTACAGGAAATTGTTGTGATACAGTATTGTTCTTTCATCCTTTATTTTCATATCAATTGTAATACTACATGTATTTGAATACTTTAAGCTTTGTATTTCTTGCAAAATAAAATTGTAATTTCTCGTAATGACAATAATTATAGATTATCTAAATTCATTTAAGGTCGTTGGAGAACACATACATTTTTGTTCAAATTTGAGTGAACATGAACCTTGCTTCAAACATTTTCCCCGAAAATCATGAAAAAAGAAACTAAATCTATGTTAAAGTAAGTTAAGCTACATGACTTAAAGTTTAATTATTTTGTTGCAAGATTTCTCAGTCGTATGTAGAAATATATAAGGACAAAAAAGAATTTTGAACATCATATAAAATCTACAATTTCTTAATATTTTAGGAATTTGATATAATTTGCATAATTTACAACCAAAATTAGTCCAAAAATGTTGAACATGAATCCAATTTTTACATATAGCAAATATGGCCTCTGAATAAATTTCAATTTTGGTGGCGTTTTATGGCTTTATAGGACGGCATAGATTTTACGAACCAATAGGTCTGTGGAGGATGTTCAGTAATTTGGATGAGTGAAATACAAATATAAGATTGTTTTATCTGCTTTTTAAAATCGTTCTAGGAATTTTAAATTAAATATAACGTGACAAAAGATTTAAGATTTGTGAATTTTAAGAATATCTTAATTTAAGGACTAATTCTACTTTTTCAAATAATCTTATAGGCACTGTAGTCAGTTAGTCGGAATTTTTCTTGCATGGTGGAACCAAAAACAACATTCAAAAAAATTTTCTTAAAAAAAAAATAGTTTTTTCTCTAAGTGCGATATTTGAAATTCAATGAAAAAAGTATTGACTGCATGAAAAAAGCAATCTGTAATGTAATCCTGAAAAAAAATAATTTACTAGTTATTGAACGAGTATTTAATTCCAACGTATACTTTTTTGCTACAAGCAATTTCAAATTACTGCTCAGACATGCTCAACGTATCAATTAAATCAATGCATTTTAATTTTTTACATTCGTATTAAACAATACGCAAGTGGAACCTACCGGGGCTGTTTTCTTCTCCATCGATCTAACCACAGTGATAAAAAAAAATTACAATGATTGAGAAAAATGCTACCCTTTTTCTGTTAAAAAAATCGTATTAAATTTTCAAATTACTAGTATTCAGTTCTGAAAAAAGTGGTGATATTTCTTACCTAATGAATATGGCGAAAGAAGTAACCAGCTGTACATGTGAGATAGTGTATATAAGGTTCAGAGATCTAATGATACTAAGTATTAATGATAAATTTGTAATTGTCATACTTGTCAGCTTATTTGTATGATAAGCTCCTCAGCCTGCACACGATGCACTGGGTAATTTATCCTCTAACTAGATACAGTGTTATACCTGTAATATTGTGTTTATTTATGTTCATCAAAGGGACAGAAAATGAAGATAGCTCAGAGCAAGTAAAAAGCGGGCTATTTTCCTATTACGAAGTCTGAAATAATTTTTTTTTTACTTTAAACTGTGCGATTTTGGAGTTTCACTCAAAAAGTAATCGATCCTTTACTATTTTTTTTTTAACTTTTCACATCTTTAACTTTTGCAATGTGCAAACATGAAAGTACTTTTAAAAAAACTTTAAAAATATATATACTCGTTTTGGCTACTTTGAAAAATATCATTTGAAAGTTAGCAATTACTAAATGCATGTTTCCTTAAACTTTATTTCTGAATCATTTTGTTAACAAAGTGGAAAAGAAGTTTCTACCAGGAATCAGTTATGCATGCATACCCCTGACTTTAACTTCGATTTATGTAAGACCGATCATTCTCATGATAATGAGATAGGTACTTTGTGTCCGGGTTCTATTCTCGTTCGCCGCACCGCTTCAATCAAACCTGAGACGTAAATATGGTTAAAATCCACCTTTGACGTCACTCTTTTGTTTGAGCGCTCCATTTTTTTCAGGAATGGAGAGTTGCAAATTACATTGAAAACGGAATTTGTTAAATTCATATTCTCCTTTCCGTGCCTCTACCGAGGAAAGAAAATTTTAATAAGTTAATTTTCATATAAAGAAAATAAATGTGGTATTGTTCAGAATCGAACCCGGTACCTTCACCTTCGTAGTCAGGTACTCATCTCACTATGCTGTCGAAGCTGTTTAAAGACAGTGGATTTAAATAACTTCAGTACACTTTTTTCGCCTTACTTTATATATATATATAAATTAAATACTACATGTACTAATATGTTTAATGTATATTTACATTGTATCTTATAAATATTCTTTATTATATATTAACAAACAATAATTGCAAGCATTTAAAAAGGTGGATTTTAAGCGGGTCTCGAGGCCTCGGCTCCATTACTTTTAAGGAATGGAGCGCAACTCGTACATTAACCCTAACGTTGTGAGTGTTCCTTTGCCAAGCGAAGTGAAAGTCATGATCACGGGTCTTTCGGATGAAATCTTAAAATGTCCCGTGTCACGGTATGCGTTGGCACGATATAGAACCCTCACTGCTAAAGGGCCCTGAGTGCTGAGTATAGGTCTAAATTTGAAGTTCTTCATCGGAATATGGTGACGTCTCCCTATGAGTGAAAAATTTTCGAATGGGACGCAAAACAACCTTCAATCAATCATTTTTAGATTCAATACCTATATTCTTAGACCAAACACCTGTGTTTGTAAAGCTCTGTTATTGTTTTTGTTCACGTTTTACCAGAAGTATTTGATTTGCTAACACTGCAAACATCACTGAACACAAACAGACAACACTGGTATGTTGGTTTTGCTTTCTTACATTTCTATTTTGACTTTTCTTGAATATAGTTATATATATATTATTATTATTACACCACATTATTATTTCCCACTTTTCTTATATTAAAGATATTAAAGTCCAAGGATGTATCATAATGGCAATCAAACACACAAAAAATTCTTAGTTTTAATAATTTTCAGATAAAAAGAGTATCTTAAACGCTTTCAGTTTGTAATATTATAATATCGATTTGAAACGCTCTTAATTGCAACATATAGGTCATAAAATTCTATCTAAAGCTTAAAAGAATACAAACTTCAAATCTGTGTCTATCTTAAGCAATTCTTTTAAAAAGAGGAGAAAACTTGACTTGTTATTATTTATTTCATCTTCTTGCACATTATCTTTCATATTTAAAAGGAGTTATATATCATAAAATCTCTCAACAATGTACAAGTGTTACAAAAATTATAACAAACAACAATGGAGTTATGTGTGTCGTTGTAGATCTTCTTTAGGAGACATTTAACCCTGTGTGGCCTTTGGCCCTCCACCTGCTCCACCACCCATCATACGCCTCAACATCATCATCTGCATCAAATCGTCCATGGCCATCATTTCCCCGCCTCCCAGCATCATCAATCCTAGTAAGTTATTTCCTCCGAACATTCCCCCTCCTGGGCCCATTACTGTGGATAAATCAGAACAAATACTCAGTATAGTGCTAAAACGTGAATTCACAGCAGATTTGTTGAGAAGTTCTTCTAACGCCTTGAAGGAGGTTTTCATCGATTTAATTTTTGTTACAGGGCAAAATATATCGCTATCATATATAGTTTTTGCAGTTATTTCAATCTTTCCATTTGGTTATTTGAAATAAAAAATATAGATGGAACTGCATATCAGATGTAATTTTCCCCAAAACTTATTTATTGGTAGCTGCGTTTTGTCGTAAGAGTTACCTCTAAAACTCCAAATTCAATGTGCTAGCAAGCAAGATTTATTCAAAATTGTTTGGACCAAAACATGCAATTACATGTATGAATACAATAAGATAAAAATAATAATAATTATAATAAAAAGACGATTTAGTGAATATGAGGGGTACTTGTTTATCAAAAGATACTTACATGACTTCATCATCATATAGTTCATCATAGTTTCTGAAAAAGAAATGTCATTACTAAAATACACAATGAACGACACAGCATGATACATTCATCTGTAATAAAGACTTAGGCCTTTGCATAGTATCTGTTTATTTGCATGTACGTTTCTTTCTGAATGCTTAATACAACCCAATAGATATGGTTCTAAATCAACGATTGAAGAGTTTCTATGCCTGAAAGTTCTCCTGAGATTCATGAATTTCTCAGCTCATCAACATGACCAAGTCAGTCCCCCAAGGAAAGAGAAGATTTTGTAAAGGTATATTCATTTCTAATAAAATAAAAACTTTTCCAAATGGGAGCTGATCATTGGTGACACAAATTTAATCATTTGACAAAGAAATCATCATAGTAAACTTGAATGTTTTTTAACCAGTAAAGAAGATTATAAAAGGTGTAACGAATTTTTAATGTATAACCAGTTTAGCCCATCCTCGAGGTCTGAACCCTGACAAGAAATTCACAGTTTTGGTTGACGGCAAACTGAGCATCATAACATTATAATCATGTTTAAAAAATTGTCTGCTATATGTCTCAGAGTAAAGATTTTCAGATCTAATAAGTTTTCAATATATGACAAATTTATAGACCCACAATGGGGTCTACGTCATGGGCATGAATTTCACTACTAGTAGATAGATAAGAGTTTATTACAGTTTGCTAGGTGGTAACCCAAGAGTAAAGAATACTACATATATTATAGAGTAAAGAATGTAAATTACTCAATCAAGGAAAATATTACAAGTAAACTTTCTATTTTTGTAAATTACAATCAATATCGGTATCACTCTATATACTGATGAGCGACTTTCTCCTAGAGTTACTATATCACTATAGGAGACCAAAGTGTTCATAGCACACCTGACATTCCAGATGACGGCTGTTGTCTTGAAGCCCCCCTGGATCTTGATCTCTGGCACCACGCACAACCAACCAGTAAAAGAGCAGCAATTAGAGCCAGAAAGGTCTTCATTGTAATCTAAAATCAATACCCAAATAAGAATAATGCCGATAGAAAATGATTATGGAGATCTTAATAGGAAATAGTTGCATTTGACATTAGTTCTTTGGGAAAAAAAAAACTTTTTATCTTCAAATCACTGTAATTTACAAGTGCAAATTACAGCATATGAATACATATTCAATGTCATCTAAATTCCTGTTTGCCGTTTAACCACAGTGCTTTGAATATTATATCAAATGTATATGATATTTTTCAAGTTTATAATTTCCCTCCTGAATGACCTCCATGTTATTTTTCAGATACACTCTTCAACGCCTGAACGTCAGCAAAAAAGAAATCAGATTTCAGATATTAATGACGTTGCCTCAAATTAAGGGATGATGAATACATTTTTATCATTTTATAGTGTATTCAGGTAAGGTTGTGACTCAAAGTAATGCAAGATTTGTTCGAAGTTTCGTTTAGGTTTTCTGCTCAACCAATATTTTAGAGTTGCACTAATTAAATGTTTGAAATAAGAAAAATCAGAGCGAATATTATACATGTACATATAATTGTTTTCCTCTTCCTAGAACTTTATTAAAATCATATTTTTGAATTGTTGGCGAGACTGCATAATTTAGTTTCTTCTAAATTAATAGGTGAAAAGTGACCTTCTTCTTTTTAAATCAATATCTAGAGATGCCGTGCTTCGTAAATGCATCAGAACTCCTTCCTACCAAATAATGAACAAATCTATCATAAATTCATATATTTATCGAGCATCAAAAGAAGTGATATGACGACACGTGATATAGTTCTGACAGTTAAATGATATGTTTGACTCGTACGTCACATAAATCTGTCCGTCTAGTTCTGTAGTATGCTCACTTTTATTTTCACAAAAATTATTTGGGATCAGGGAGGGAAAATAAGATAAACTTTATTTCTTTGAGCCCATTGGGTGTCTTAAATCTTAACTGAAGAACTGAAGAAAATTGTAATCTCTATGTATATCCATTAGAAAGACATTATAGGCCTATGCCAATATTTTTACGTACTGTTTTTTGACTACTTTAAGAATTATTTTAGATAATTGGTCGGTTATCATGAGAAACTAACAGATCTAGTTGGTTGACAGTTGCATAGTGCAAAAAATACTGGAGTCACAAGTTCTAGCGTCAGTTTACTGAATTTTGTTACTAATCCAAACTGATAGAAAAGAATATATCCACTGCTTTCTTTCTTTTTCTCTTATGAAAAAATACAACACCAAAAACATTTTAAAGGTAAAATACATGCAGCCATAACCAGAATTACGGGCATATCAGGTACTAATATTACACAAGAAATTATTTTGAAAACAATTCACTATCCGATACTGAGTATATCATTACATTCGTTTTTTTTTAATTATATTAAAATATAAAAATGATGTTTTAAAAAGTAAAAGACGATCCAGGACCAAGAAATAAAAGCTAGTAAAATACTTCAAGCAAGAATGAATTCAGACCTGCTAAACATTCAAAAGAAACAAAAATTGATGCATAGAAATTTTATTTAGCTCCATGGACCCTCGTGCCCATTAGAATGACTCAAATACAAAATCATGATTGTTGAACATTCTAACGCTTATCGGAGGAAAATACACGTTCTCAAAATTACCAGTATCCAGCGGAATTGTTTAGCGCTATAGTTTGAAAATTTATTTGAAAAATTGCAGACGGGATTATTCATCAGTAAATACCTAAATTTTAGACTGAAAAAGAAAGTTCTAAATATTTACCTGTCTAGTATAATGCAACAATGTAGGTCAGTTTTCAATCCTTTCTGATTTGACATATGATATGCACTTCGGTATATAAATAATATTTCCCTGCAATTAATATATGGAGGTATATTTTTATTTATCATTTATTACATTCCCTTGTCCGCTGTTTTGACACAAATCGCCCTGCTGTCAGGTGCGTGACGGATAACCATTCCTTCAACATGCGCAGGTCCATTTCAATAGGCTTGACCGTATTGGTCGGTTTTTCCTTTATTTGTGAGTGTGTATATATATTGTCCTGCGAAAGGTTACCGGTACTTGCTCGCACTGCTGATGAAAGTAGTACATCAAAACATAGGCAGGATTCATTAAACACTTTAGGCCGGAGAGCAACAAATATTTACGGCGTAGTAAAAAAAAAATATGCACGTGTATAATGTAGAAGTTTGCTAGAATATTAATATAACTTATAGTCTCAAAAAATGACCAAAGAAATATAAAAAAAAAGTTGCATAATGAGATACAAGTAGACATAAATATAAGACAGGGCGATAAATTAGATTTAGGCTGAGTTATGATGCATGGAATTGTTGGACTCGTTATGGTATACATCTAACTATATGCATACTCTAACTGCTACGCAGTCCTGCATCTTAATTACATGTAGATGTTAAGATGAAAGTAGAAAGAAGTATTTCTTCGTTTCATCGAATTTTTTTTATCGAGTTTTATACTACAGGGTGAACGAAAATACTTCATGAAAGAGAGCAATAATCCAATATATGCGTGCAATTAAGAATTATATGACTGTTCATTTAAATTGCATGATTTAATTAATACTCATTAATAATACGCACCATAACTGAATTATTGCTCTTATCAACTGGATTAATGATATCATTTCATTCAATATATACGTGCATCCATTCTTTAAGAGAGAGAGCATTTTAAATTAATAATGACATTTTTAACATATATCCGTCATTGAAAAATTATCTTTTATTGCTGCTCTCGTTGAAGAAAAATATATTTATGCGCATCAATTCTGATAAATTGAAATTTTGTTTATATTTCACTTTAACTTTATATCAATTGATATATATTAATTGCATTAAACAGATAAAGAAATGATTTATACCTAGCTTTAAAATTGATTTTGTGAACTATAAATCTACCGCTTTGAAGAACATCATCACTTCAATATATGAGATCAATGATTGAATTGTTTCGCGCATCAAATCAATTATTGCACGCAATAAATGAAATGATTTTCGCATCAAATCAATTATTGCATGCAAAAAATGAAAATTTTCGCATAAAATCAATTATTACACGCAATAAATGAAATATTTTTGCATCAAATCAATTATTGTTCACATCTATTTAATCGAAAAGCGTTTCAAATTTTTAATGTACTTATTTCAATTAATGAAAGCAATAATTGAGTTTATGCTACATGCATCTTCAAATATAAATGTAAAGATATCCTTAAATATTTACATTTCCAATGTCTTTGTCCAAGATAAAATTACAAATTGTAAAAACTCTTTATTTCTACATAAATCTACTGGTTCATCGATAGGCGCGGTTAAAAAAAAATCACGTGCGGGGCGGGACAAATAGAGACAGAAGCGGGGCTATTAGCACGGGAATTTGCAGAATCAGGAGCATGTAAATATAAGGAATAACTGTCAGATTTTTTGGATTCATGACGATGATCAATCGATTGGCTTGCGTGATAATTTTATGCATAAACGCCTTCGGCGTTTATGCAAATTATCACGCAAGCCACTCGATTGATCACATCATGAATCCAAAAAATTAGACAGTTATTCCTTAATTAAATTGCACTCAATATGCACGCAGATTATCAACTAAAAGAGAGCAGTAATTCAGAAACTGCACTCATTTACACATAGAATTATTGTGCTCTCCAGCTGTATAAATCATTTTGTATCAATTCAATTTTTGATAAATGTCATTAATTCAATTCGAAATTAACAATATTCAACAATTGCAAGCATCAATTTAGAATATTAATCAAATGCTTTCAATAATTTAATACATAATAGTTCAGAATATAATTGAAGGTATCATTGTTTATTTGAAAAGATCTTTGAGTTAATTCAGTACAATTTCTACACTGTATAAATTTAATGTGATATTTATAATGGACAAATGTGATTCTCATGATGATGATAGACTGTCAAATGAAACTGCAATTGTGTTCACTTTCAAACAATATAACAACGTCTCTATTTTACTGTAGTAACCAAAATGATATAAAATCCACTTATGATATACTGTAGCATACATGTATGTGAAGGTACATATATTTGCAAAAATAATATTATCATGTATGTGGATGAATTGTACTTATTCAAAACCAAACTCAGATCTTTGCTACCAACAAGTGATAGAAGTAATAGCACAATGGAATTTTATCTTTAAGAGTTTAAAAAGGTGAATATCTAATGTTACAATTGTATCATTTGTGGATGAAAATTTGAACTCTAATGCTACATTATATCACAAATGAATTTTATATCATTAAGAGTTACTGCCAGTTACTTCTTAAACATCTCATTTAAAGACCACTGTGTGAAGCATAGCACCTAAGCACTGGACAATATTTGTTGTCATCAATACATCGACATGTTCCTCAAGATGGCGTTTTGGATCCTAAAAAAATATATATGTAATACTTTAGTCACAGTGCATTCACAGGAATAATTAAAATTATATACAGAAATTATTTTTTTGCAAAATAAAAACTCTGAGGGTAGTTTGTGAGCTCATTTTTCAAAAACAGAGGCCCAGGGGCCTTAACGGTCACCTGAGTATAAAACAACAATCCATAGAGGATCCACAGAGCATAAAATAAACTGATAGAAGAAGCTTTTGTAAATCTTTGATCGTCCATTGTGGCCCCAGAGTCATGATTTGAACAAACTTGAATCTACAATGTATACTACCTGAGGATGTTTCCATGTAATTTTATCCAATAATGGCTTTGCTGTTCTTGAGAAAAGAATTTTTTCAAGATTTTTCCTTCATATTCCCATGTAAAACTTTGATCGTCCATTGTGGCCCCACCCTACCCCTGGGGGTTATGATTTTAACAAACTTGAGTATACACTACCTGAGGATGTTTCCATATAAGTTTCATCTTACCTGGTCCACTGGTTCTTGAGAAGAAGATTTTTAAAAGATACCATTAATTTTTCACTTATTCTTAATTATCTCCCCTTGCAAGAAGGCATGACCCTTCATTTGAAGACACTTGAATCACCTTAACTTAAAGATACTTTGTGGCAAGTTTAATGGAAATTGGCCCTGTGGTTCTTGAGAAGAAGTCGAAAATGTGAAAAGTTTACGCATGAGGCACACCCGCACGACGACGGATGAAAACAGATAGCAATATGCCATCTGAGTGACTCAGGTGACCTAAAAAAAATCTGTTTGCCTTTTCCATCCTAATACATGTATGATGGAAATATTTTCTGAGGTATGTACATTGTATCCAATTTTAGAATTACTTGTTAAAAACATAATTTACCCAGTAGATCTTAGGATATAGCCTCCCAAAATGCTCTTTTGACCAAAATATTTTTTAAAGAGTACATCAACTACATTCATACAAGTTGAAACACACCAATGGCACCTTTTATTATTCACCAACATTTGATAAACTTCACCTCAAATTTACAATGCTAAAAAAGGTTTTCTAATTAAAATTAATAATTCTAAAAAAGGTTTTCTAATTAAAATTAATAATTCTGGTCTTGTATCATTGATATTTTTTTTTTTGAAATCTATATGAAGATATTTATCCTTGGAAAATTTTTACTAACCAGGTCAAAATGTCTTTTGAAGCTTAGTAATAAGACTCAAAAAGCATCCAAAATACAAGATGCTTGTCTGACCTTTTAATCTTAAGACTGAAATGAACTTATGACTACAGTTCAGAGGGCATGTCGCTGCCTTGCAAAAAATAAAATCAAAATAAAAAAACATTTTGATGAGATCAATTACTGTCAAAAACCATACAAGCATATAGTCATCTGAATACTACAAAACAACACACTCAACGAAGTGCCAGGGATGACCAATTCTAATTCATTGTAAACATAATTTGTTATATCCATTAAGATCATAAAATGTCTTGGGAACTACAGGGAATGAAAATTATGTCACTGTAACTGTGAATTCATTACTGTATCTAATTCCTTTGCATTTATGTGGTCATAAAAGAAACATTCATGTTTTATAACATTTTGGTCTCTTTCTCCAATGAACTTGTAAAATTAAAATATGACAAACATGTAGTAAAACAACAATCTGATTGTTAATATTTACCAATTTTCCAACATTCTTAATTGCTAGTTGTTCCTGAGTCATTGTTTCCTCTTCTTCCAGAGCCTAGAAAAAAAATAGGAACAAAACAAAGATATAAAAGCATGAAAGAATTCTGTTGATTATTTACAGAGAAAAATTTTTACATGCTGAAATGCCAAATATCAAACAACTTCTTTCTACAATAGATGTACACGTATGCTTATATTTTCAATTATGAAATTTCAAAAACAATGGGAATTCTAAGATATGGATTTTGAGTCTATTCCAGTTATCTCATTTAAAGACAATAGAAATAATTGCAAATGATTTGTGTAAAATGTTTTTGACTAATACAGTTTTGTTTTGGGGGGGGGGGGGGGGGGGGGGTTGGCTTTATTTAAACATGTATGATAGGCCTACATACATGCATGACACAGTACAGGCAACAAAGACCAAGTGACAAAAACCAACCTTGTGGTAATTCTTTGCTAGTTCTAACATTTCTTTGACAGTCTTTTCATTATTGGTGCAGTGTGTTTTGTAATCTTCAAGAGATAACCCATCAACCCAGCTTTTCTTATGAAGATTCAGCAACATCTGTAAGAATGAATAAGAAACACTTTTTTTATTAATACATGAAGTTTACACATGTATGTGTAAAAAAAGCAAAAAATAAACAAACAAAAACTGTTTGATGACTTTCAAATTTAGATCTGAAAAGCTGATAAAATAACTTTAATATGTAGTTGAAAATAAATTCTTTGAAAGGTTGGGAAAAAATATATTGCATTTAAAGAACACATTATGTAGGGCAATATACACCTGTAAATAACTGCATGTCTGCATAAAAATATTTACCATAAAAAATTATAGTCTTATACTCTATCAATTATAGTTTTTTCAATACTTTTAAGTTTATCATATAGGTTTAGAACTTAAATTGATACCTTCTGTTCCAATTCGTTTTTTCTGTAATTGATAGCTATGGAATAATAGTGTCTGTTTAATCCATGTATTAATGCCTGAAAGTAAAACATAAAAATATACCAAGAAGCCTAAATGTAGAAAGATTGGCTTCAATTGCACAGGTTTTGTCTCACACATTTCACTTCACTTTTGGAGATATATTAGCCATAGCTGAAAGGATGAGTATAATTCTAACAAAATAATGCACAAAAGTCATGATTAATCTCATGATCTCATCAAAGTTCTATGAGGATAGTAAAAGCAAGAGAAATGACAGCTAAAATCTGCTACACAGCATATTTGTACCTTAGCTAAACAGAATTTAGCTACACTGTATTTTCCAAAAACAACTGTGCTCAGATTTTGACCCCAAATATTGAAGTGCATTATACATCTACATGAACAGATAGAGTAAAACATGCTTATAGCAAAATGCCAGAGATGATTTATTTCGATTTTCTTAAAACTTATTAGTTCATGATACATTTTATAACTACAGGGAATGAAAATTGCTGTATGCATGAATTCAGTAGTATGGTGTCTGCTGTAAAAAGGTTTTTCTGTATTTCAACAAATTTATTTTGCAAAAATCTGTAGAATACAAATTTAAGTAGAAGTGCACCATTCATGATTGCTAAACAAACCTGTATTGAGGGTTTCTGTAAATGTCCAAGATTTGATGTTGTTTGTCGAGGTTCCTGGCCTAGAACCATCATATTGGGGTTTATGAGTCGAAAAGCATCTATTACAACCTGAAAAGAGATAGCTACAATACCAGTCATTCTATCACAGTAATGCTAAGGAATGACTTCAGACATGGAGAGTAAGAATATTTATTATATAAAGACTTTTTGAACTTTTCTTTCAGGAGATTTTCAATTAACATATAACAGACCTTAGGCTTTTGTTTAGGAAAATTAAACTGATAGAATATTTGAAGTTGCAGTAAATATATACATCCTACAGACAACTGTCAGAAAAGTGTGTTGCTGATAATTATATTATAACATTTAATTACCATGGGACTATTTGGAACCTACAACATAAAATTGAAAAAAAATCCCTAACCATTGAATTCACTGCCCTCAAGAACATAAGATATTTACAATTGGTTTGTCTGTTGGATTAATGTTCTAAACTTAAAGTACTTAAGGAACAACTCAGAAAAGTCATCCACAAGAAAATTATGTGGCCAAATGAACTGATTGATAAGCAAATGGACTCTAAAAAGCTGTAACCAAATTCAATGACATTGCATGGTAGACCTCCACACAAGCATCAACAATCAACACACATTTATTATAACACACATACCTAAAAAAAACCTTATTGTAATGAAATTTGGAATGTTAACAGTTTGCTGAGTTGTCTTCTACAATGTAACAAGAGTGTTAGAAACTTAAAATTTATTCAGTAGTTTAATTTACCTTGCCCTTGACACTTTGGATTGGGTCCACTACAACAGCTACAGCTCTTTCAGACAAAGCCTCGAAGCTCTGTTGGGTGTTTATATCTACCCCTGATAACCAGCAACCAAAGCCAGGGTGAGAATGATACCAACCAACCACCATCTCTGGGCTACAATAAAAATATTAAAACACTAAATTCAAAGATTTTATAGCTCAGCTTGGCAAGTGTCTTCAGAAAAGACAAAGTCTCGCGGCAAGGAAATCCTCAATAATACCTATATTATATTCCAGTTAATTTTGAGAATTCATTGAATGAGGATGTATTTATATTTTATATGCATTCTGTAATTTTATATATATATATATATATATATATATTAGGGATGTCAATTTTACTAGGACAGCTTAGTCGAATAGTCGGTGGCTTTAGTCGAACGATAGTCGAGTACTCGTTGAAATTTAAATTAAGTTTTCATGTCATTTTTTCATATTTGTCTTATTTGTCTTTAACCGACTGCTAGCCTGTACAATATTTAATCTATGCTATCACCATTATATGACAAATTATTGAATCGTTAGCATTTATATTACGTAGTAATAAATATATGTATCCAATGTATTTGATTTTAAATATAATATTTACTGCACATTTTATCTATATACAGAACATCAAATGCTCGTATTTATCCTTTCTTTTCCTGCTGCTAGTACATGTACCCATTATTGATTTCTTACCTGAAGCCATTTGAATGCATCTTGTCAGTGACCCATGATTGTTAAACAATTAAAGCGTAACTCTTATAAAAACAAAGAGAGCTTGCAATAAATTTTAATTATGAGATTTTTCGCAAACAGTCAATACAATTTTAAAATGATTGATATTAAATCAGAAAAAGGACACCTTTAAATTATGCTCATAAATGTCACCCAGTTTACTTGTATTTACAAATATGTAACAGCTGTTTAATTATTCTTCATTAATTGATAGTTGCATTAGGCCAAACAAAAAAATATGTGTGGTTCCGGTTACACTTCCAAAAAAATTAGGGTAGGTAGGTAGGGATTTTTTTTTTTTGTTTTTTTTTTTTGTTTTTTTGTTTTTTTGACAAAATGATTTTCTTAATTTTTTCTAAATAATACTTATCACTGCTTTGCAAATGGCATTTAGATGTGGTGTGATAATATCCTAGTCAATATTGGTAGGGGACACCTACATGCTAGCTTGCTTTGGATTTAACACTATTAAACACTTGCACTATGTTTTGCAAGGAGGCCGTCATTGCTGAAACTAAAACTTAAACTGGAGCCATTGATGGAAATCGGGGGAAATTCCGGAAAAAATATGAAAATTGCCAAAAAAAAGTTTAGGGTCAGGGGTATAAAATAGGGAAGGTCGGGTAACCGGAACCACACATATTTTTTTATTTGGCCTTATAGAGATCTTCTTATGGAATTGCAGGTTGAAACTACAATTTGGATCTGACATCTATTAAAGTATGCCAATGCATGTTTGCCGAACAAAATAATCCTTTGAACAACAAACGAAGACTGGTTAAGCTTTTCCCTGAGTTTTACTCATGAGAACACTGAACACTGACACGTTAATAAATGAACTGAGCAGATTCAATTTTTACCTTGAATTTAAGATAACTATAGAGTAGCAAATTTTTTAATGAATAACCGACTAAAAAAATTTAGTCGATAGTTGGTATGATCGAATGATAGTCGAGTACTCGAATATTTGTTGACATCCCTAACATATATATATATATGTTATTATATATATATTTATTATTATATACGGTATATTCTATATTTACCGGCCTGTCTGTTTTAACATGTCCAACATTTTTGCTTGAAACACTGGATCCACAGCTTCAACACTCACACCCTATATAAAAAATGAATTCAAAGACCTTCATGAGCTTCATGATAATAAAATCTGGGAGACTACAATTCCTTACAATGGACTGGATTTTTTGAAATTCTTAAAAATGAATTCCTAATATTACTTCCATAATTTTCCTAAAAATAAAAATAGTATTAGAGGACATATTAGAGGTGTTTCTTTAATTTGTGTAAAACAGGCATAAGAATGTACTTTTATCTTGCAACATATACGTATATTTAAATGCATATGAAAAAGTACATACGGTCCCTGACTGCGGCATTGCAAAAACATCGATCACTCGCACTGTATAATCATCGACGAATTCCCCCAACATCAGTCCCATCACTTCCATAGGCACCCCAGCTCGACCATGCTTCAGCATCTGAACAATGGACATTCCTAATTTCCTCAATTTATTACTTATTACATTATGTCATTAATATATACACAATTTACTTGGCAAGGAATCAGAACAATACTTCAAAACAGGTAGATCCACAGATATAAACCTTCAAGGTAAACTTTATTTATAGTTCTCACTCTAACTAATTCAAGACAAATCATTTGAGTACAATGACCAAATAAGAAAATAAAAGGCTGGAATGTGGTGAATTGGCAAACACCTGAGACTCAAAGAAAAATTTCATATCACTAAAGAACCAAGTTGGAGTTTTGAAATTTGTTTGAGTTACCTTTAAAAGAGCTAGAGAGGAAATGTAAACTTGCTCAGCTGTATCCACTGTTGGCGCATCAGTAGGTGGTGCACCCTGAAAGGAGAAGAAGACATATATTAGTAAAATACAGTCAAACCTCTTTATTTCGATCTAGATGGGACCGAGAAAAATTTTCGAGATATCCGAGGATTCAAAATGTCGAGGGTAAAATACTTAAAGAATAAGTGGTTTGGACTTCCAATTCACTTCAACATATCATGGTATTCGAGATATTGGTGTTCAAGATACCGAAGTTCAACTGTATTTCAATAAAATTGAGATATAAATATACGGTATCCAGCTTTGATTTTGCTCCTCTTTTATGTTCCAGTATATATATAAATATACTTAAATAAAAGTGTAGGAGTCTACCAATCTTAAATTCTTTTGGACCAGATATATAGTTTTTGACATCATTGCCACAATCTGACAAATAATTTTTTTTTAAAACACCAAACTAAGTCTGAAGCACCTTATGAATCAAAGACAATGATTCCTCTTGTATATTGCACTCAGGCTGATCTGCCTTTTTGACAAAAAACAATTCAAAGATCTTTATTTCTTTCTTATAGATGAGTTCACAAAAAACAAGACTTTTGATTTTATCTGGACAAAGTCAACTTACACTGTATCAAAACTGAATGTTATATGAGAAATGGGCTTGGAAACAACAGGTATGAGGTCAGTTTCTTGTAATGATGCCGTGTTCAAAGTTTGAGGGTCAAGTTTTTAACAAAATCTTTATGGCATTCAAGTTTAATTTTTGGTATGATGAAAATTTTCACTTGATCATGTTGATAGACTATTTTCCAAATAAAGACAATGCCCTGTACAATTATTTTCTAAAATATAAAAAGTAAAATTGTGTTTCCCTTGCCAAAAAATAAATAAATAAATAAATAAAATTTATCCCCTCACAACGAAGTCAGAGAGGATATAGTAATGCACGCTTGTGTGTGTGTTGGGGGGGAGGGGGGAGGGGGTCGGTGAGTGGGTGTATAACAAAAGTTAAGCAAATAACAGCGTTTTTTTTTCCCATTCTATAACTGGTACCGGTAAACGATACCATTCACAATGCTAAAAAGCATTAATTTTTCCAAATTTTGAGACTAAAAATCCCAATTCAACTGCCAAGGAACAGACTATGATGACATCGTAATTCTTTTTCTTCCTCTTAAGAGATAAGTTGTAATATGACAGGACATGTGTTGTTGACAGCTTAGTCATGCTAGTGTGACTGTCGTACATTTTTGGCAACTTGAAAGCATGACAACGTTGAGAACAAGGGACATTAATATGTAAAACAATGAATACATGTTGATTATTCTTTAAAGCGTGAATTAATAGGTGATGAGGTTAGAATAAATGCAAAATAAATTTCATTTGCTGATATGACAGACAATTTCCGTTTGTTCTATTTCAACGTTATTTTTCCCAATTGGATTGGTACTGGACCCATTCACAATGGGTAGAAAAAATTACTGAATAATAATTCCGGTCAGGATTGACATGCCCTTTAACGAGGGGATGCTTTACTTTGCGGTCCCCTTGTTAATTTTTGTGTCTCTATAATTGTCATAATAGTGTGTAAATTGTGTACTTATTCTTTTAAAATTATAAAAATGAATTGAACACAGATTTATGAATTTACTTACCTTTTAATTACTTATATAATAAAGATGTTAGTATAATGATGATTAAAGTACATAAAGTACATACTTATAATTTCAAAGATATGTTAAAGAGTGCCCTCATGAAAACTTGTCACGACATACAATGATACAGTGCCCTTTTGATTCTTGGATTACCATTAGCTATGGAACATGATTTTTAAAAGCACTTCTTAATTTAAAAAGCAACACTTTATATTTAAGAGCCTTCAAAACCATTTCCAAAACAGTTTCATTTTTTGAAATTGGTTGAAAAATAAAAAAGTTATGATTATTTTTTGTTTTCATTTTTTCACATCTTGAAACAAAAAGTGTTGCCATTTTTTAAAAAAAATCAAAGAGACAAAACCTACTTAGCTACAATTCTTTATTTAATGCAAAGTGCTTTAAGACAATTATATAAACAAAAAATATATATTTGAATTGTTTTCCAGTGTATATAATCTCATGAAAAACAAATATTATATGGTTGCCAGAATTCGAAATGTGGTAACACTTTATCTTTTTCATTCTTTGCTTGATAAAAAGTATGAGAAATATCAATATCAAAAACTTAATATTTCTCCAGCTAGATTTCTTTGTAAATTCAGCATCAGAATTGCCAAAATAAATTTTTTTCTTAAAAATACCCCCCCCCCCCCCCCGAAAAAGGGAGGGGGTACATACACAATAAAAAATTAGGAATAGAATTCTTACTAGGGGGAACAAGATGTTTTTCACAAATAATGATTACTTTGATAAAGCGAAAGGATTAGGTTTAAAGTTATGAAACTTAATATACCATGATCAGAAATTCTGTAAGTGCATCGTAATTAAGCCTCAGCAAGTAAAATAGAAGTTAATAGATCCACAAATTTTTTACATACACATCAAACTCGCACACATTTTATTTTAGTATTAGAAAGTTACAAGAAAAGCTAAACTGGCTATACATAATAATTATTCAAGAGAGTATTGCATGAGGCACAAAATGAAGATATGTTTTATCGTCATCCATGAATTTATGTATTGGAATATTTATGTTAAAGAAGTTAAATGACCCAATTCTCAATCCCATTATTTCTCACTTAACCTACATATACATTACAGATGTTGTTTCTTTCAGTAAGATGTGATGTACAAAGTTCTGCTCGATTTCTTTTGGTTTCTCTAAATTTTATTTGAAGTATTGATGAATTATTTTTATGAAGTAAAACAAATTGATCTAGTTACAGATAACTTAACGTAGAACCTACGTCGTATTACGTCATACTGAGAAAATGAGTTTAGACTGTCTTTTTGGTGTTAGACCCATTATGACGTCATAATTAATTTAATGTTACTTTTTCCCGTACTTTCTTCAAGAATGTCTCATGTAATGAAGTTACACAACTGTGATAATGTGAATGACATGCAACTATTTTGAAGGAAATCAAAAATCCTAAGAAATCTAAATAGTACAATATCTTGATGAAAAGTGTCTGAGACAAAGATCTGTTAAAAATTGTGTGTAAATTTTGGAATGTCTATCATGAAATGACGTGCATTCTCTTTCATAATTATTTGTTAATTATTCATAATGGTTGGTGTATAATAATAATGTTTCCCGAAATTATTAACTTTTTAAATAAAAAAAAAATACATTTTTTGATAAATATTCACATTGTAAATCTGAACGTAACCCCAAAACAGTAATTTAATAATTAAATCCTGTGTAAGTGCAAAAAGGTCAACAAAAGAAGTATGGATAAATAGAGTGTTATCATTCGTTTGCGGGGAAAGGTATATATTTTAATCACTTTTTGTAATCATTTGGGTATGTTCTTCAGCATATTAAAGATTGAAAACATTCTGACAAAGACTTTTGAAAAATATTTACAAATTTAGGTGGTAAATTGACTCAAAAAATATTGAGCACATTTGCCTACATTCGTTGAAATGTGGACTTAATCTTTTATGTCAATTGAATAAAAAAGAATTTATTCTTGAATAATATTGCTTAATATGGTTCAGTTAAATAAAGTCTATAAACGACGATGTTTGAAGAAGTATTTTAGTGATTTATTATATTCTCTTTATTACCAGTACCCATAAAAATGGATAAAAATATGTAGTCGCTGTGTAAAATTATCCTTCCAAGTTGCACAGACTGCACTACATTTAATAACCAAGAAACATACCATATATCTTTAACTGATTGATAAGCGAGAGCTAATTTATCATTTTGAAAAGTTTGAAAATCTTTTGACAAAGACTTTTCCGACATAGGTTCTACCTTAAGGGTTGTTGAGTTGGCTTGGCTTGAAGGGGGAGGGGGTTAATGATAAAGGGAACTACCGAGTAAGTTATAGGCCATTTCTGTGAGTGTACCGGTGTATTTTGAAACTTTCGATCTCCAATTTTTAATACAATTATTTTAGCTTGTGAAAAGCAGACGGCACTGAAATGTGACGCTGAATATGACCCTCATCGTCGTACATCACCTTACAAAGTCAAAATAAACTAAATTGTTGAAAGCAAGATATTCACATGATGTTATGACCATTTGGCACCTCGCAATTTACTAAAATCCTACAAACCCCTCATGCTTTCGTTTTCCTTAATGACAGCAAAGGGCAAATAACCCTGTCAGGCAAAAATAGTCCATGTGATCAAACGTGATTTGGTGTTGAATACAAGGATTTAAAATTATTTTTAGATTGAATTCTCATAGAAAGTACTTTTCTGTTTTATTATAATCAGGTTTTCTTGGTGTATATTCTCAAATTCAATTTTTTCTCTTGAAACGAATATTTCATTATTATTTTTTTCCCGCCGAATTGATGCAAATTATTTATTTTCATCGATATACACTTGCAGTAATACTTCAAGAAGGTTTCCGAAAAACTTTTGCAACTGTACATTTCATCGTCTTACTGTATCAGTCCGTAACACACGACCACCCGATCGTTTATTTTTCACGCCATTTTTTGACAACACAAATTTAGCAAATATTAGAGTTATCGCCCGTTGCTTTTCCGTCACTATTACCATACCCTTTTTAGAGTCGAGATTTAACACTAAGCAGATGAAATTAGTTTCACTGAAGTTATTACCTGTCCTAAGCCTGGCATTCCACCGCTTAGACGAAGCAATCTGTCCATTTTTAAAGTTTATAATATATTGTCCAAGTAGAATTTTGGTGATATTTCGAAAACAATTTTTCTTTATCATGCACCACAGGATCTTCTTTGGCGAATGTAAAATACAGAATGATAAAGACGATGCAGAAATTTCCGGAAATGTTGACGAATAAGGGTACTGAACGTCTTCTTAATTAATGATTGACCAGTCACCTTAATGTTTACAATACCAGGGGCCCGTTTTACAAAAGAACTTACGACTAAGACCAAAAACTGTAGTTGATAGTAAACTTTTTACAAAATTAATTATTCTGTTTAAAATTGCTTTTGTAAACATATCTTACTGCATTCCTTTTAAAAAGATTAAAACCATTGTCAATATAATGTTAATTAGAAAGTTATATGCAAAATTAAATTTTGGTCTTAGTCGTAAGTTCTTTTGTAAAACGGGCCCCAGGAATTTTACGTATCAAAGATGTCTGACGACGTTTTTTTTTAATTCTAGGGTTTCACTGGCGGATCCAGTAATCTTGAAAAAGGGGAGGGAGGGGGGACCAGTTTGGGGTCGGGGTAGGGGCCCACGACCACACCAAAAAATTTTGATTTATTATATCTTATGTATATCTTGGACACAAAAGGGGGGCCTTGCCCCCTTCTGAATCCGCCAGTGGGTTTGCGAAGAGAAGTAGATGTAAGCGAAAGCGTATATCTACTTCTGTAAGGAGAATACATGAATCAACTCTAGATATACATAACTTACACCCTTTTGAAAATAGAGTTGGTCAGGGATTTTTATAAAATGTTTGGACTGATATTAAGATTTATGAATAATATAACGGTTAAAAAATTATTACAGACACAAGTCCCCGTGGAATGATCTTAAAAAATTGATATTTACAATCTATATATACACAGTGAAAATATGCAGAATTGTAATGCTCACTTCTCCGTCTAAGGAATTTAAAGCCTGTAAACATTTTCTTAGAATGTTTAATATCCTATGGTTGACATTTATTAGACTTACATAAGAATTAAACTGCAAATGTTACTTGATGTAAGTATAATTGACTCAGTTTGAAACTATAAAAGGATATATTTTCAATAGTCCATGCATCAAGAATCAAACTAAAAGGTTACTGAAAAAAAAAACATACACAAAGGAGATGGGTAAACAAGGTGTGCAGAATGCCTATAGCTTTAGATATATAAAAAAAATCATATTCAACCTGTGAATTTAGCATTTAGAGTAAAGTTGTCATTATTGAAATTCATGAAATTGTGATAAACAAAACTTTTCTGAGGAAAATTTTCTTGGCAAAAATTATTCTGTTATTAAAAAATAATGTGGTATTCGTGGGGTTAATCCTAGCAATAAAAATCCTGAGTATCATTTTCTTTCGAGACTAACACGCTAGCCATTACGCTACGCAGCTCCTGATTTGTGGCATTTAAATCATGTTTGTGATATGACCTTTGAAAGATACGAATGTTGTATCATAAAAATGTAATTTTAAGGTACAGTGGGTCTTTGCTCCATGTTTTCGTTAACCAAAAAAATTATATTTTTACGCAAACTTCGAGAATAATCCTTCAAAAAAAAAAAAAAAAAAAAAAAAAATGGTGTGAAGACCCACTCATGTCGAAAAATTGTCTAATTGTTTGAGAAAATGATCCTTTTTGCCCTTTCAAAGGCAAATAATTTCAATTTTTGTGAAATTTTTGCAAATTGAGGAGATTTTACATAAAGTATACTTTAATGTTCGATAAAATATCAAAGAAAATTTTGTTATAATTGAAATTTAATTTTTCACCTTCATATTTGTCGCACTATAGGCATTTTGCTCGCTTTGTTCGCCCAACTTCTTTAGACTTTTAAAAGAAATCATCATTTTGAATCAAACTATTTGTTTGGATTATATAGCCTTCTGGTGTTTTATTGTGTGAAAAACTACAATAGAGAAACTTTTTAATTTTATACCATGAAACGTACATTGACTTCAATGGCTTTGTCCTAACAAAAATTTACTATAGTTAACTATAGTTTACTATAGTGAAAACTTTGATACTTTAATTTACTATGAAACTTTACTCTGGAACTTTTTTTGAGATTTCAAAGCTTAAAATCTCTAAAATTCGATAACAGTAATGTAAAATTTGGAAATAATGTGTGAATATACCAATAGTATTTCAATTTAATATACAAAATGTGCAGGTATGAATTGAAGAACAAAAAATATAACGCTCTGAAATCCATAGTAAAAAAAACTTTGATTTACTATAGTGAATAAAAACTTTGATACTATAGTAAACTATAGTAAACTATAGTTTATATATAGTACTTTTTGTTAGGGTGTGGACATGACCTCCCCCCTCCTCCCCCCGAATAAACACCCCAGGTCCAATTAAGGATATTTCTAGTTGTCTTCTTTTACAAATTATTCTTCTAACACACATTTACAATGTATTCCATATACCCCACCCCCCCACCCCCACCCCAAAAAAATAACGTCGAATAAATACCCCAGGGGCCCGTTTCGACCAGTCGCAACTCTACGCCGTCGTGAACTCGGGACTAACCCGAAGATTTGGGCTTCATTAAAGAGTGGCTATCTTTAAGCCGGACTAAAGTTAGGCCAAAATTTTACGTCAGTACTCATGAGTAGGCGTAAGTTCGGGCGTAAACATAAAATAGAGACCTGTAATTAGTTACAAAAGATTTGTAACATGTACGTGTAACCAGGGACCTATATACTAATATTTAGGTCCTTGGTGTAACCTACACGTACACGTTTACTAGCCGTGAGCTAAAAATTACTTCAGCTACATGTACGCGTAACACCGGAAGTGCTTATAGCAGACGTCGAAACCTCAGGAAAGGGAGATTTGAGGTAAACAATAAACAAATTAACTTTTTAAGTCTTGAAATAAGTTATGAAAAGGGAAACTAGAAAATATTTCCGAATTTTAGAACAGCGGGAGTGGGGAAATGTTCTCTCTATAAAATTACTATGCCAAAAGGCTTTAGAGTTTGCAGAGATGTTGAAAATTGAGGGATTTCACTTCCTGTAATATTAGTCTTGTCCCATGATCCCTTGCACTTCGTTATTGGGTTGTCCCATGATCCCTTGCACTTCGTTATTGGGTTGTCCCATGATCCCTTGCACTTCGTTATTGGGGTCATGTAACGGCTGTATCCATGTTTAATGGCGGCGCCCATGACGCATCTGAACGTACGAAATTCATAGCCTGTGAAAAAGATTGGAATACCATCGAATAAACAATTTTTCACGTAAACTGCGTGTACGTATTGATTTTTCCGGTTTCTGGCTGTCTTTTTCTGTGTGTAGTAGGACGTGACAAGCCTTTGTTACTTAAATTACTTAGAAATAAATATGTAAACAAGTTTTGCTCTATATTTCGTAACAGTTCAAACAAGTGTTTAGAGGCGTAGCTTAGTTTTTCTTTCACCATGTAAAGATGTACTTTTGGATGCTTTTTAAATTTTCAGTGCCCAAATTTCCAAGACATTTCGATATAATATATTTTGAGGCTACACTACGTTCGAATTTTCTCCAACATGTTGTTGCTCGCGTGTATCGACATATATCTGACAGATACAATGTACACACTTACCATGCTTGCAGAAATACTCTGTGTGTGTAATGGAGGGGGGTGAGGTAGTATTATTAGCCTGGTTGTCTTTTTAGTTCTTTGGGACATTAACCAGTTGTTAACATTAACTAATTAATATGAGATAGAGATATGATCATGTTTGGCCTTTTTCTGACAAAAGAATTATACTTTGGACACCCTGGGGATCTTTTGAGTTCTTCTCAATACATGTTGCAGGCAGCAAGAAATGTTCAAGGCACTTTCATTGTTGTAGATGAAACCCATTGTGTTTTTGATTGCAAATTAATCACAAGTTGTGTTCATACTTTCATCAGCAAGAGAAAGCCTTTAGCAAGTAGGAGGACAGTGTTTTGAATGCCTGCAGATGTGTATAACCCATCCAACCACCCCCATTTTATTCATACATTTAAGAGAGCTACACACTGTAAAATATATTGTCGCCCGAGTGGCGCAGGGGTTAGAGCGTTTGTTCTAGAGTCGTGAAGTAAGGAGTTGATCCTTACATCGCGGGTTTGAATCCCACTGCGGGACGTGGAGACCGGTCCTTCGGATGAGACTGTATAAACCGAGGTCCTGTGTAGCAGTAGGTGCTGGCACAAAAAGATCCCTCACTGCTTAATGGCCCTGAGTGCCGAGTATAGGTCCAATATTTGCAGCCCTCCACCAGCAAGTGGTGGCATCTCCATATGAGTGAAAAATTCTCGAGAGGGACGTTAAACAACAAACAAACAAATACACTGTAAAATATAAACTCACATTTGTATGGCTTTGGAGTGGAGTTGGAAAGGCTGCTCATTCCTTCTATTATTCTGAACACATATGATTTTTCCCTTGCCATTTCATGTTCAGCATCCAAAAGAGGTTCATTATTTTAGAACTGAACCTTCTATTTTATTTCCAAAATTCCAATTTAAAACAATTAAAGAAACAAAATGCCACAGCAGAAAATTTGCTTTATTTTGAACACTATTGTGACTTTTAAGATTTGTCTAATATATTTTAGCTAAATCAAGCAATGGTGAATAGCATATAGCCAGTCTTGGTTCTCCAATACTGTTCATTTTTGTAATTAGAAATAGGGGGTGGCCAAAGACAAGTAAAATGATTGAACACTGATCCTAGCTGGCCCACTTTCTAATATGGAAGGTTTGAATGCAACTGCTTCTTTGCAATCCTTATATATTCATTTTTAAAATGAAAAAAAAACATACAGATTTAATACTTTATTACAGCTTATAGACAAGTTATAGATAAAGCTGCAACACCATTCTTCTTTCATGTGTCCTTACAGTAGTGACCAGTGATGACCTGGAGTAAATAGAAGGAAATCAGTATAAATACTCCTGATTTTAATGAATAAAATAAAATACACATGTTTTGAATCTCTTACCAAAACATATTACTTTTCATCCTGTAGATGATCTCAACATGATATCTTTATAATACAGTGTCCATGTTGATGTTTACAACCCGATAATTTACAATTAACACTCTAAGCATTTTATCGCTAATAATGCTTTTAAAAAAAAAACTGAGAGAAATTAATGACATCTTCAAACCAGAATAGAGAACAAGTGCCAAAATGAAAATGCATGTAAAACTGAAACAAAAATAAAGCTTTAATATTATGTAAAAAACAAGATGTGTTTGTGAAACACTATGAACCCGGCAGCAACAAAGTTCGAAAAAAGCTATTTTTAGCATATAGGTCACAGTCAAGGTCACAAGGTCATTGACCTTGGTGTCATTTAAAAGAGCTTAATTAGTGGAGTAAGCATACCCAATATGAAGTCTCTATCTCTCATGGTTCAAAAGTTATGGTGAAGGATAAAGTTGACAACAGACAGACAGGACAAAAACAATATGCGCCCCCAATCTATCGATCCGGGCGCATAAAAAAATTGAAATGCAAGGTAAAGTACATGTATTTTATAACAACACAAATGTACGTAATTTTCTCATAAATTAAGGAATACTTTAACATATTTGCAAAAGGATATCAAAATAAAACGAACATAGTTGCACTGAAATTCATCATTTATATGCACATACCAGTATAAAAATCTTTATTAAAATTCCAGTTACAGATGATCCACAGGGTTCATAAAGTTTTCGAGCAGAATCATTCCAAAATACATTGGCTCCAGTTTATGGCACTTCTTTGGCTTCAGGAATGAATATCTTCAGAAAGCATATTTTTCAGACTTTAATCCTATTACAAAAAATTAATGTCATCTTTTATGTAGTATGACACTATGTATTCCATTTTATGCTGTAGACAGGTATTTAATTTCTGAGTTTTAATTTATCTAAAAGTACAACAATAAGAGATAAAAAGAGTGCCTGAAAATGTTTTATTAGGGGTTGCAGTGGATTTGGGGGAACTCAGACTTGGTTCTTCTTATCAGTTATGGGGGTCTACATGCATTTTTTTCCTGAGAGATAGAGAGAGATCCTTTTCTGTTAATAATGCAATTCACGAATTCAGCTACAAGTATTTTCATATGAACAGAAACAGCTGAGAAAGGCAAGAATGCCTCAAATATTTGTTAAAAATGCTGATTGATTTAATCAGATTTTTGCTTGTTAACTTAAATGACATAATAAATTATCTTTGAGTATAAAATAATGTTAATAAAATTCGCTGCATGCATGTGTACTTTGGAACTGCCTAAAGTATGTCAATAAACGCGAGCAACGACATGTTGGAGAAAATTCGAACGTAGTGTGGCCCCAAAATGATTTATTTCGAAATGTCTTGGAAATTTGGGCACTGAAAATTTAAAAAGCATCCTAAAGTACTTCTTTACATGATAAAAGGAAAACTAAGCTACGCCTCTAAACACTTGTTTGAACTGTTACGAAATCTAGAGCAAAACTTGTTTACATTTTTATTTTTAAGTAATTTAAGTAACTAAAGCTTGTCACGTCCTAATAAACTCAGAAAAAGACAACCAGAGACCAGGAAAATCAATACTTACAAGCAGTTTATATGAAAAATTGTGTATTCGATGACTTTCCATTTTTTTCCACAGGCTACGAATTTCGCACGTTTAGATGCGTCATGGGCGCCGCCATTAAACATTGATACAGCCGTTACATGACCCCAATAACGAAGTGCAAGGGATCATGGGACAAGACTACCTGTAATATCTGCTCCTTCTCGCCATACTCTTCGTCAGTTCCAGATCTTTGAATAAAAAGTAAAGTATAGAATAGGAAACAAGAGGCCCATGGGCCGTAACGCTCACCTGAGTCACTTTGACCCTGCTATATATTCTTCAACAGCTGATTTTCCCCTTTAATTTCATATTGTGGAACAACATCTAGCCATACGAGAGCTATGATTTAATCTAAGTTGAATCCACAAAAGTATTTGGATGCTTCACTATCAAATATTTACAATAACAAATATTTTTCCTTAAGATTCTTTGCAAAGATCTCATGAACTACCATGGGATGAGTAAGAATATTTCCATTGTGATGTAATTGAAGTCAAAAAATAGTGCAATTTTTTTTCCAAAAATTATCGTTGAATGACAAAAATATGTTTGAAGTCATCAGAAAAATAATGTAAATATAAGGTATGAATTTAATTTTTGAGAATTCATGAGTACATGAACTACAAGGCTTCACGCCTGCATATTTATGATGAAGCGCTAACGCGCTTCATGAAATACAATGTATGCCTGCGTGAAGCGTCGTAGTTAATGTCCTCATGAATTCCCAAAAATTAAATTCATCTCTTAATACAATCAAAATGGTTCTGTTGTTTTGTATTTTTTCCCCTGTACACACGCATTATATAAAATTTTGATCTCTGATTTCGGCCCAACCCTAAATCCAAAGATCATAATTAATGCATATATTTAGTTTGTTTGCTCTTTAATATTATTGAGGGTGGTCTTGACACTCTTGAAAAAAATCTTTAGAACTATACAATGTATTAATCTCGTGAAAAACTCTGATCCCTTATAGTAGATCTTCTAATGTGGCCCAACCCTACCTCTTGAGGTCATGATTTCAACTTGAATCTATACACTACCCGTGGATGGGTCCATATAAATATGACTAATCATGGCTTTTCTGTTTCTGGGAAGATTTTAAAATATTTCCCCCTGTATATCCCTATGTAACAGTTTGATTGCTTATTTAAAAAAAATAGGAGTGGCAGGCGAGGAAGTCAAATACCAGCAAGAAATTGTAGACAGCTTAGTTTGGGGAGACGGAGGTGGGGGTGGGGGTCAAGGAGACAAGATGCAAACGATGTAGAGCACAAGAAAAGTGCGCGGCCATAAATCTATCCTGTCGAGATCGACAGCGCGCTGGCATCAGTTCTTTGGTTATCGTTAGATGTAACGGACATTGTACTTGGACGAGAAAAGGATAAGTAATTCAAAAAATCTAATCCCTTGGTTATGCATTTAAAAAAAAATCACTAAAACGTGTCATATGGTACTTGTAAGTAGATAGCTTCAAAATTCAGGTACATAATAAAATATACTAGAACGGTCGGTGGAGTTTGATTAGAGCAAGCAGATATGCGCACTGCATGTTATTGCTTATGCAAATCGGGAAGTTAATTATTATGAGCAAGTACATGTAAAGTTTAACGATATGTATTAATACCTATTATTTAGGGGGAAAGTTTTTGGTCATATTATGTACACAGGTACTCCCCCCCCCTTAATTTCGCTCTCTCTCTCTCTCTCTTCGAAAAATCACATATTAAAAAATCGCCCAAGGAAAAGAAAGTTGATTAACATATTTTGATTATTTTAATTTTCAATCAACTATTCGGGTTAAGATATTCAGTGCAAAGTTGATTTTTTTTATTAACGTCAGTTTCATACAAGCGCTTTTAAACACTTCCGGTATACTGAACAGTATTCTGAGTAGTGTTATGAGTAAAAACTGAAATGGCAGACAATCCTCTTCCAAATATTTCACTGATTTTGAATATTTCAAGACACGAATTACTCGTAAAAGGAGAAAAATGTTTCTTTGTGAGTATTTACTATATTAATTGATTGTTTTGCACGTGAAATGTATTTGTAACAGGGAGAGAGATTTGCTACATGCATGTGTTACTGTAATAGTAAGTTTAACGGTAAAGTTAAACATCATATCATACCAGCGGCCGATGGATTTATAAAGAATGCATGATTTAGTATAGATAAAGTAAGAAATTAGTCTATTTTTGTTGAAGTCATCCCTTAAGTTTTTTTTGTTTTTGTTTTTTGGTGTTTTTTGGGGAGGGGGGGCATTATACACTTACATAGATTTGACGAGGTGAGCTTTTGTAATTTGGCAAGATTATTGTCATTAAGCACTGCATGTACGCGTATTTATAAATTTTATAATGTATAATTTTATAAATAAAGTTTTATAAATTCGTTTATGTAACCCTGATCAATACAAATGAGAAAATAAGGTATAAGGCCTAATATCCAGAATTTAAAGTCGCTTGATCTGATTATAAATATCTAACTAAAAAAAATCTGTTCGTTCGTGAAAAATAATTCTTCTATAGAAAGTTTCCACTTTCGTTAAATTTTATTCTGAAAGTCGATGTGTTTTAAAAAGATTAATATCAAATTTTTAAAATTTTAAAAATATAATGTTGGGTCACACATACACATACACATACACACACACACACACACACACAAACAAAAGAGAAATCGAGAGAATGCAAACCTTACGCATGTGCAGTGTCTTTTTATGCAAATCGCACGATGGAACTCAAACGAACACGAGATAATCCAAAATAACTGGGCTTAAAGATAAGCCCAAACAGTGAAAAGAGACAGAAAGCAGTAAATTTATATAGGAGAGAACACAAGGGAGGACATGCGGGAATCGCCGGAGCTGAACTGCAATTCAGAACATAATACAATTTATGTCAAACAGTAATTTCACGTGTTTCTCAACTCAGGGTTTGTTTAGCTTTTCGAAATCACGTTGTCTTGCCCATTTAAATATCCATAGCGTGTTCGTTTTGTCAACATGGTTTTTGACAAAGATTTCTTTTATAATATTGTTTTTAACCGAAATAGAGCCAGTTAGATGATTGATTTCAATTTTTAAACATATTTTATGCATATATATATATATATATATATATATATATATATATATATATATATATATATATATATATATATATATATATATATATGTGTGTGTGTGTGTGTGTGTGTGTGTGTGTGTGTGAGGGTGTGTGTGTGTGTGTGTACTTTTATTGTGTAAGAAAAACATGCGTCTCAATCGGACCAAGTGGCTTTAACATCTGCTTATTTATATGAGATGTATATACATGTATTTTAGCATTCTACGGACATGAACAAAAACGTCTTAAAACGAATGCAAAAATTAAAAAATATCAAGTATGTTATCGTAATATATGGCATTTTTATAAACATGTTATATATAAAATGTTTTTTTATTGTTATTATGAACATATTAATAATGAGTATTGATGACTGAATGTTTTTTAAGACGAAAGTTTAGTTTTCAGCCAAATTATTTACACCCGACCTACGAAAGATCACTATATCGAAAAAAGGATTGTAAAATTGGATTAAGATACTTCATTATTTTAGTCACAGTCTACTAATCAGTTAACAATATTAATTGCAGAGCCGGTTTTATCTATTAGCCCAAGAGTTTTAAAAACACGCATTTGTATATACTTCCGGTACCATGAGCAGCGTACCGTGAACAGTATTCATAGTATATAAATGGCGGACAATTCTTTTCTAGATTGATATTTCTATAATTTCAGTGCTCCTAAAGATTTCTTGATACGGATTACTCATACAGAGGAGAAACATTGTTTTTTGTGAGTACTTTTGATGTAAAATGTTGCTTTTGCATGTGATATGTATTGCGTAACACGGAGAGGAATTTTTAAGTGGGTTTAACGGTAAAGTTAAACGAACAGTCATAAAGTGGCCAGTGGAAAGGATGATGTGCCAAAACTACGTTTTGCTGCTTCTTTTTGTACGACGAATTATATTTATTCTGCAACGATTTTAATAGTTTTCAAACAAGAATGAATAAATACGACGCCTTTTGAATAAGCTAAAAATAAATTTCAGTATCTATCCCTCTAATCATGCTTCTACAAATGCTATTCATTTTTTCTGATAAATTTAAAAAGGTATGCATGTTTAAAAATGAACCTGGGCGTGGCATTCATGTCCTATGAACATTGAACCCTGGGCGTGGCATTCATATCCTATGGACACATTTCAAGTTTTATCTATACCACGGAATTTTGAAATTGATTTCTATTTAAGCTACTGACTTTCTGGTTGAAATTGTCTATTCTTGTTAATATAATTTTGTTATCTATGTCATCTGTATAAACCTGGATGTGGAAACTAAATTCATATACCCTCTAATATTTTGTATAAGTGGATTCACATGCATTCCTTGGGGCATATAGTTTTTTTTTTCACATCTGTCTTTCATCTTTCTTTCCTTGTTCGTTAGTCTTTCCATTTGTCCGTCTGTCACACTTTGCTTTAAACTCTCCTCATTTTCTGTCAATTTATCTTACCAAATTCTTGAATGAATACTTTACACAACTTTATACCCAGATACGTCTCTGTGAGAGAATTTGAATCATACTTACTTAAGATATCATATGTAAATTTACTGTCTCAAAACAATGAGATTTAATTCATTTAGCTGCTAGTTTAAGCTAAGATAATTCTAGTTATAATAATAATAAAAAAAAAAAAAAAAACAGTACTATTTAAGATGAATGTCAATTAAAAATAAAAATTATCCTGATCTTTTTTCACTGGAATTTTTATTAACTGTTGTTTTTATTATAACTTAATCAAAGCATTTAGATTTCTCCTTTGACATCCTGACTCTGTTTTAACAGGAGGATGGTAACATTAAACGGGATCCCAATATGAGGAACAACTTCCATAATTGTCACCAGAGGGTGGGAAACAGGGCAGGGAATCAACTGCAGGCAAGTAGAGAAGAAACTGTAAGATTTGTGTGATAAATTCTGTCATGTCTGGATTTTGTTGACTCTTTCTCAGTTTAATTACTTGACATCTGGGTATTCTTATTATCAAGAAGAAGGAGCAGAAGAAGGACGAGGTTCATCATCCAGGGAGCCTAGCTCACAGA